TAAGATATTTTTTAACTAAATTACATGACTTAAAAAAACAGTTAAAATTAGTTAAATACAATAAATATGTAAAAATTAAACTTTTTCTTCTAAGTACGCCCCAACAAATAAGAAAAAAAGTACTAATAATGAGATAAAGAATAAAAAAGAATGTAATATGAGAACAGATAAGAAGAGAGAATAGGAAATTAATTAGGGATAAAATTGATGAAAAGTAAAAACACATTTAATGTTTAGACACCCCTAAATAGGATCTTATAGAAAGGACTAAACTAATTCAAATTTTAGGATCATATATAAAAAGGACAGAGAGAATATGAAATATTGAAATTAATTTGGGGTTTGGTTAGATAGAAGGATATGATTAATTAGAGATATATTGTGTGGTCATTTGAATCATGACTAAGAAAAGGTAGTATCCCTTTACCAGCTAAGCAGAAATAAAAGTGAACAAGGTATTAGCAAGTTAAGAATTGACAAATTCTGGTTCTTAACAAGACCCTTACAATAGGAAAAATCTCTTAAAAGCACACTTAAATAACCCACATTTTTATTTGGGTTATTGAATTTATCATTCAAAGACTTATTACAAGTGTGTAATGGAGACATAAAATTGTTAATTTAAAATTGAAAGATATTAACTGTAAAATGAACATGTTAATTTAAATTCTCTTTTAATTTGGTTTCTAATAAAACAGGGATTTGAATCATTTCACAAATTTTAAATTTTCTTTTTGAGTCATGCAACTTGATTAGGGGTTTGATAAATTTAGTGATCCAGATGAGAATTTTTGCTATTTAAGTACCTTTTTGAGGATTTTTTTTTATAATGAACATATTATAACTCAAGAATACCAGAAATTTAAGGAATTTTTTCCTTTTTGGTTTCTTTTTAAGGAATTTTTTCTTCATAATAAACATCTTATAACTCAAGCATACTGGAAAAAGGATTTTTTTTTTCCTTTTTGGTTTCTTTTTAAGGAATTTTTTTCTTTATAATAAAAATTTCTAAAGCTATTTTTATAAATTACCACATCAAATTTCAGAATTCACAAGTTTCCTTGCGTAAATAGCAAAATTTTTGTAGTCGGAGGCCTTGCAGATGGTTCTTGGACGGCTTCAAGGGGCAATTAGGTTCTTGAACGGTAGTTTTTTTTTGCTTGTTTGTTTTTGTTTTCCGTGCTGCTTGAGTCTGTTTCTTTTGTTCGCCGTGTTTGTGTTACTTGTTCATTGTCTAGCCTTCTCTAAACTCTGTATTTGACTTTTCTATCAATAATATTTGTGTTTACAGTGCCAAAAAAGTAGTTCTGGCTGGTGGGAATGGGGGAGAAATTAATATTCCTATAATTTGATCTCATTTTTTATCAAATCTTTATAATTTTTTTTATTGGGTCATTATAATTTCATCAATTATAAACATTAGTTATTATACTCATAATTTGTTAATTTGTAAGAGAAACAATGCCAATAGCATATGACATGGCTCTCAGTTATCATACTGCTGAATTAATTGTACCATATAAATATAGAGTAAAGCAAAACCAACCAAATTATAGATCATATAGATGCAGAGACGGTTATGAACATAATATTTTTTTAATTTTTATGTTGATAATAAATAAATTTCATTTCATCATTTATTTTCAAAAACAACACTTTTTTTTCTAATGCGAAAAAAAACTTGTTCATTTTATATTTTTTGGCAATTTACATGTCACATAGTCAATATCCATATATTCTAATTAACAGATTATAAACATATAAACTATTGTTTATAATTGAAGAAGCTATAAAAACCCATTAAAAAAACTGTAAAAACCTAATTAAACATAAGATGAAACTATAAAGGCTCACAAAATAGTAGATGTCACCTATAGAATGGGACCCACCAATATGTATATGCTTATCTAAGTACACAGATCAGACGGTCAGAAATCATACATAATAATTTATCCAACTAAACCTATGGCTTAGATTCAAACCCATCATTAACCCCCATTATTATTAACCCCATTTGGAATGGCCTCTGATCTTTTCCTCTTCGACACAATGATCCAAGTGTAAACTTCCAACAACACAGCAATTCCACCAAGACCTGCAATAACCCCCAATGTATGCATTTTTCCAGTTTTCATAACGATCTCCGTAAGAGTTCTCAAGTGCATCGAAGCCTTTAAATTTGTTTACAATGCTGATGATTATTGTGGCGTGCCCCACCCAGTAGTGGTAGAAATTCCAGAAGATTCTATATTTATGATCCTTGTTTGGCCTCAAAAACAAAGCAAACACTTGTATTCAATTGAGCAGGTTTCTCTCAGTACCATTATAATATGTATTCAGAGAAGTTATCCACAACTAGAACATAATCGGAGTACGTTTTCTAGCTCTGATGAGGTTGAGATTTTTTTAAAAATTTTATTTATTCTAAATAAAGTACATAAAGTTTCCTAGTTTTTTGGTTGAAATTATGGGGTCTTTTTCTTCAGTTTCCAAATTATCTAGAGCAAACACCTGTTTCATTGAGGTCCTGTTTGCTTTAACTCCGTGGGATTCCAATGTAATTTTTGGTTGACTTTAACCAGAGGAATAATCTCTTCTTCATTCCTTAGGATTCATGGCCTTATACGTGTTGATCCTCATACCCATCCCTCTGTCACTCTCTCTAGTCCCAAATGCAGGAGGTAGATAACTAATTGCAGAGATTAAAAAAATTAGTTGAGTTAATTATCTGTAAAAAATATACAATGTTTTCTTAAAATATACTATTTAATAAGCATTTGAGCTATCACTTGATCGAAATTCATTTGATATGTGCAATAACAAAGATAGTTTGGGAAAGAAACTATAAATTTAAAAGACAAAATAGACTGAGATTTTACATTTAGAATCAAAATAAAACCCTTCATTAGCTCCTGTATTTAGGATTGGAAGGGATATTTCATTGCTCTCTTCTTAAAATATATCTATGGTCAATTCCATTCTCTACCACCCCCAATTATGTCCAATTCCATTCCTATCCTTTCTAACAACCAAACATGGCATCAGTTTTCCTCTTTATTTTATAGGAAATGATACGTGCCTGAAGAGTTTCAAGGCAGAAGATGGTGATGCCAAGAGCTCTATGGGTGTCATGCTGAACGGCAACAGAGTCATGGCCTAGTTTGAGACCATAGGCCCAGCCACCAACACCGACGATGAAGGCAGAGGTTTGGCAAATGACGTGAAGGTAAAACCAAGCAGGGTCTGCTGATTTGAACGCTTTCAAGTATCTTGCTATTATGGCTCCTATTGGCAGCATCGCCCTTCAGCTCACTGCATTCAACACTCCATGCACCTATTCATCATCATCATTTCACACCACACATTAATAACGTGCTTTCCATTACCACATCATTAATCATTAATATCAATATCTATAAAAAAGAAATTACACTATTTATAAGTGTTAAATGCTAAAACTTTGCTTCAGATTGCGTGTAATATATGGATCCCACTTCCAATCAAACTAGTTTCTGCCTTGACCACCTTGTAAAACCATAACTAATGGTCGCAATTATAGTTGTCTTGCTTGCAGGTGCAACAAGTTGGAAGGACCAGTTGGGATTTTGCAAACTACTAGGAAGGCATCTAGCCACAAATTGCGGTTAAACAGGGAACTAACTGAAAGTTATTAGTGCAAAAAAGTCTTTTTGCAGCTATTAAAAAATGACCTCTACATTGGTTCTATAACTATCTACACTGGTTGTCGTTTTAGCTGGTGTAGAAGGTTTTCTCAACACAGGTTGCTGATAGAATCGGTGAAAAAAAGTTAATAATCCCACATCTTATTTAGGAAAATACCATCGGCTGCACTTTCTACACCATCCCTCCAACAATCGGTATAAAACCCACAACTAAACTTAAAGAGTCTTTACCAATTGGTTGAAGAAATCCCAAGATTGTGTGTTATTAAATGATAATATTTTATCGAGTAATAAAATATACCTTCTATGCCAAATATCAAACATTATTTCAAGGGTAGCTTTCAAATGCATTAGTATCATACATGGTTTTGTTTAAAGACAGCGTGCCCACGTCAATTCAAATGTGTAGTTATTTTTTAAAAAAAACTTTTTATTAAAAAAAATGTTTGCAAATTATTTGATGACAACAGGAAAAATAACATCAACATCGGTTTTAATTTTATGTATGATATTGATATAAATTGATATTAATATCAACTGATGGTTCACATTGACGATGATTGTTAAAAAAAATTTTATTTAAATTATATAGAATCTAAACTTCTCTTATTGAATTTTAGATTTTCTATTTCATTCTATTTTCTTCTAGCTAAATAAATAAACTTGTTTTACTAATAGTACCTAACTCAAATAAATAATACGGCACTGCTAAGTATTTTTATATGATAGTGAGTATTAGGCTCTATACGTACTGTATGAGTATAAAGTGAAGGTAGACGAGATGAGAATAGTGAAATGGATATATAATCATACCCAAAAAAAAAAAAAGATTTGTAATGAACATATTCGTAAAAAAATTAGTGTGACTACTATTGATGAGAAGGTGGCAAAAATTGATTGAGATAGTTTGTTTACGTGCAAAAAATATTTTTAAATGGAAAAGTGAAAAAAAATTATCAAATAGTATGAAATCCTCTTAAAAAAGATATAGAACAATTTAGTGGTCAACACTTTATTGTTGTTGTATTTATTTCTAAAAATGCCTCCTTTCCATTTCTTATTTTGTGACAACTTACGTCATAATCGATATCCACACATTCTAATTAACAGATCATAACATATCAACTCATGCCTATAATTGAAGAAACTATAAAGACCCTGTAAAAAAAAACTATAAAAACGTAATTAAACAAAAGACGAAACTATAAAGACTCACGAATAAATTTTTCATATATAAATATATAATACAATCAAAGTCACTCAAAATTTTATACTAAGACTGCTCTGTAAAAGAATAAGCTCGATGCTAAACACATATATGGGTATACAGCTGGGAAGGCCCTACATACCTTCAAGAATAGTTCATGTAAAATCAATATACAAAAGGATCCCAAAATGAAAGAAACCACAAACAATACAAAATAGTCAAAATCTAGAGAGAGAGAAAAAAAAAACCATGTGACTGATCCTACTAATCAGGATAGTTTCTATAACCATACAATCTGCATAACTAGAAAGAGATAAACACAATAGCAGATATCAGCTGTGGAGTGAGACCCACTAACATGCATATCCTCATCTAAGTACACAGATCAGACGGCCAGATATCATACAAATAGATAACTTATCCTACCAAACCTACGGCTTAGATTCAAACCCATCATTAACCCCATTCACTCCATTATTATTAACCCCATTTGGAATGCCCTCTGATTTTTTCCTCTTCAACACAATGACCCAAGTGTAGACTTCCAACAACAGGGCAATTCCACCAAGAGCGGCAATAACCCCAATGTATGCGTCTTTCCAGTTCTCATAACGATCTCCATAAGAGTTCTCAAGTGCATCGAAGCCTTGGAAGATGTTGACAATGCTGATGATTATTGTGGCGTATCCCACCAAGTAGTGGTAGAAGTTCCAGAAGATTCTATATTTATGATCCTTGTTTGGCCTCAAAAACAGAGCAAACACCTGGATTCAGTTGGGCAAGGGTTCTTTTAGTAACCATTATAATACAAATTCAGTAAACGTTAGCCACAACTAGAACATGTGAGTTTGTTCTCCACCTCTCACGAGGTTGAGATTTTTCTATTGTGTTTATTCTAGATAAAGTACATATTTCTTTGGTTTTTTTTTTTTTTTGGTTGAAAGGGCGGAGTTTTCTTTTTCAATTTTACAAAAATAAATTATCTCGAGCAAACACCTGTGTCATTTAGGTCCTATTTGCTTCAACTCCTTAGGATTCCAATATATTCCATCATTATATTCCGATTTAGGCATATTTTTATGATTTTATTCTATTGTAATTTTTGGTTGACTTTAACCGTAGGCATAATCTCTTTCATGGCAATCATCATTCCTTAAAATTTAGGAATCTAGATTCATCACTTTATGCATGTTAATCCTTATTCCCACATCTCTATTACTCTCTCTAGTCTCAAATGTAGGAGTTAGGTAACCAATTTATAGAGATTTAAAAAAATTAATTTAGTTAATTATTTGTTTTTTACAAAAAAAGTGTGCTTGATTTTCCTAAAATACATAGTTATTTGTAAAACGTGTTTATTTTCCTAAAATACACCTTTGGTTTATTTGTAAAAAGTGCGCTTGATTGTTCTAAAATACATGGTTACTCTTAAAACATGTGAAGGCTTTGATTTGCTCATATATTTAGGACTGGAAGAAATATTTCATTGCTCTATTCTTACAGAAGTATGTCTATGGTCACTATCATTTAAGTCAGTTTCATTCTTTACCGTCCTTGTTCTGTTCTGTTTCATTCCTATCGTTTCTAACCAAACAGGACGTCAGTTTTTCTTTTTGGGAAACGATACGTACCTGAAGAGTTGCAAGGCAGAAGATGGTGATGCCAAGAGCTCTGTGGGTATCATACTGAACAGCAACAGAGTCATGGCCGAGTTTCAGACCATAGGCCCAGCCACCAACACCAACGATGTAGGCAGAGGTTTGGCAAATGACGTGAAGGTAAAACCAAGCAGGGTCTGCTGATTTGAACACTTTCAAGTATCTTGCTATTATGGCTCCTAGTGGCAGCATCGTCCCCCAGCTCACTGCATTCAACACTCCATGCACCTATTCGTCGTCATCATTTTACACCACCCATTAATAACATGCTTTCCATTACCACATCATTAATATCAAAAGAAATTACACTATTTATAAGTCATAAACACTAAAACTTGCTCCAGATTTCGTGCAATATATGGATCCCACTTCCAATCAAGCTAGTTTCTGCCTTGAGCACCTTGTAAAACCATAGGTATGCCTAATGGTCACAATTATACTTGTCTTGCAGTTGCAGCAAATTGGAAGGACTAGTTGGGATTTTGCAAACGACTAGGAAAAAATATAGCCACAAATTGCGGCTAAACAGGGAATTAACTGAGAGTTATTAGTGCAAAAGAGTCTTCTTACCGCAATTAAGAAATGACATCTATAATGTTTCTATAACAATCTACACCCGTTGTTGTTTTAGCTGGTGTAGAAAGTATTCTCGACACAGATTGCTGATAGACCCGGCGTAAAATGTTAACAATCCCACATCTTATTTACGAAAATACCATCGTTTGCACTTTCTACCCCATTTCTGCAACAATCGGCATAAAAGGCCCTCTGCCGAATTGTTTTTTTTTGTTGTACTAGTAAGCAGTTATAATGCAGTTATCCTAAATCAACTCCATTTAATCTAGCATAGGTTTTATAAGACTGAAACCTAGTGTTATATCTCTCTCTCTCCTCACTCGCTTAAGAAGTATCACTTCAGGGAATCCAAGTGCTCATAAGAACATTAGCTATGGTTTTGCAAATCATAATACATCTAGTTGTGGTTTAAACTGTGGCTGAATGTGAAATTAACTGCAGCATAATACCATTTTGTGGTAGTCAAATATATCTATTACTGCTAAACCCTTAATCCATTAGTGGGTTAAGCGTAATATATATGCCATGTTATTTATAATAAAATTTTAAATATCATACATGATTTACGAGCTAGGTTGTACACAAATGATTTTGAACTTAGAGAGTCTTTACCAACTGGTTGAAGAAATCCTAAGACATAAAAATTTCCAAATTCATGTGTTATTTTCATTTTACACTTCAAATATTATTATCTAACAAATAATGATAATAATTTATCAAGTAATAAAATAAACCTTATATGCCAAATATCAACCATTATTTCAAGAGCAGCTTTCAAATGCATCACACATGGTTTTGTTTAAAGACAACATGCCCACGTCAATTCAAATATGTAGTTTTTTTATTTCCAAACTTTTATTTTTAAAAAAAAGGTTTGAAAATTATTTGATGACAACAGGAAAAACAACATCACCATTGGTTTTAATTTTATATATGATATTGATACAAATTGATATTAATATTAATTGATGATTCACATTGATGATGATTGTTAAAATTCTTTTTATCAAAATTATATACTCTTATGTATTTAACATAACATCTATTTAACTAATTTGATTTAATTAAGAATAAAAAAGTTAAACAAGTTCATTAATTATAAGAAATATGATTTTTTTTTCTAAATTACTATAATCATCTTACTTATTATCCTTTATTCGTAATTGATCATGATTGAGGAATATCAATAAAAGCAATTTTAAAAAAAATTCACAAATAGGCCTTGTAGCGAGGAGCAGAATCTAAATCCTAAAATCTAAATTTCTCCGATTCAATTTTAGATTTTCTATTTCATTCTATTTTTTTTTAAAGCTAAACAAACAAGTCCCTTCTGCTAATACCTAATTCAAATTCAGTCAAATTTGAACAAAAATGCCCACTTACATTTCTTTTTCTTCTGAGAGCATCGCCACTTGCAGCAGCTTGAGTCACACCAGACACCAGATCCAACGTCTCCTTCGAATCAGTATGCTCAGTGCTGAGTTCATGTCGTTGAGGCGTCGACCCAGCGAGAGGGCCTTCCTGCCACACATGGACCACTGACTCCGTTCCGCTGGGAAGCATCACCGTAGCGAAGATGATAACCTCATCGTTCACACGCGCCGCGCTCAAACCCGTCACGTTGTAGCTTATGTCTCCCTGGACCAGCTGAGTTTCTGATACGTCGCCGGAGGACCTTATCGGCGATGTATACACCGTCGGGACACCGGTGTCGCCGGATTCAGAGAGCGCCACCAGAGCTTGAGTTCCGGGCATGGCGGTGACGTCGTTGTTGTTAGGGTTGATTCCCCAGGCCACCCACCGGTTCGCTGTTGAACTGATTCCGCCATGCCTGTATGCAATCTCTAGCTTCCCTGTACGATACAATCAGACTATCTCAATTCCATCTCAAAATCTTGAAGAAACTGAGGTCGAAAAAGTGGGATAGCGTCCCGATTTTGACCCTTTGGTTTTACCCGAATTATCTTGACCCGGTCCGATTAACCGTTTGGCGTCTGGACCGGGTCACGCGCCGTGTGTTTGGTTGGCCGGCTAATTAAATAACCACACAGAAATTTTTTATTCATATAAACTAATGATGTTGTTTTGAATTAAATGAAAAAGAATTAGATGAGTTAAATGTGGAAACTTTCAATTCAAGGAAATAATTAATTACTAATTAATTATTAATATAAGGACGCAATCATAAGGCTGTATCACTAGTCAAGGGTTGGTTGGATAATTGATGGGAAAAAAATAGAAAAGACTAGGTCGATATTTAATATTTAATCTTTTATTTTTTTTGGGTACAAATCATCTTTTAATTTTTACAACTTAAAACTTTCAATTTTTACAACTTTTAATGATTATAGTGTCCAATTTTCACATTAATTTTCCACTCGATCCCTAAACTAATTATCTCATAGTATAAAGAAATTACAGTTTATCTCCTTAATTACGATACTAAAAGTTAAAAATCATAATACTCTTTTGATGATAAATATAAAACCCACTTAATAATATAAATTATATTATAAAATATGTTTTATATTTATAATCGAAAAAGTATTTCTCAGGCCTCCTTTTTCCTTTTCCCTCCTCTCTTTCCCCTCTTTTCATCAAAATGTCAACAGAATTTTTTAAAATATTAAATCTCTACCAACGGTGCAGATGAGAAAAAGCGAGTAAGAGGAGGAAAAGTTCAGCTGAGAGTACAGAGAGATATCTGAGGCTTAAAAACTCAAACCAATAGCTGAGAAAAACGAATCAAAAACACAAATCAGGAGAGCACATGAGGGAGAGATTTCTTTGGCTTAAAAGCTAAAACTAATACCTGAGAACTAATTTAACAAAAAGAAATGAATTAACCTTAATAGTATATAACGAATTAAAACGACCAAATTATCATATATTCAATCCAAAAAATGCAAAATAAATCACCTGAGGATTGATCATAGGACCAGTGAAGGAAGGCGCCCTGGTGAGGAAGGTCACGGCAAGTGGAGAAGTTTCTGTTGGCAGAGAAGGAATAAGAAGAGCAAGTCTGAGCAGAAGAATATGTGAACATCACAGAGCTCACAACACACAACGCTAGCACAAGTCTCATCATCATCGGTAACTTTATGATGAAAACCATATTTAAATTTCTGCAATTAATTCTTCTTCTCTTCTTCCTCTTCTTCTTCTCCTTCTTCTTCTTCTTTCTTCCTTAAATGCCACGAGACACGATAGATCCCAGTTTCAGGGTTTGCTATGAATATATATATCAATCAAAGAAAGGAAACAAAGATCAGGTCAACTTTGGAGAGTTCTGACCAAACCCCAGAATAAAGCTTAATGTATATATATAATCTCTCTCTCTCTCTCTCTCTCTGTGTCTGGTGATTTGGAAGGGAAGGAGCAGGTGTGTATTTTTTATACAAAAGGTTTATTTTTTAAGGATTTGGTGGGTTAGGTGTAGTTTTCAGATATCACTTCTGTAGTTTGATTGATTCCAAAGCATAATCATAATAATAACAACTACATATTACATAGTACATTACCTTTTTTTTTTGCCCTTTAATTTTACTTTAAAGAACCTAGATTCTTTTGTTTCTTAAATTTAAAACAATTTTTACAAAAATTTGACAAATTTTTAATTATAAACTTAATTTTTTTATTTAAAATTAGACCAGCTTAGTTTCATATATCACATAGAATTTGGAAAATATGATTTTGTGGCTTATATTGCATTAATTTTTATTTTTGTTAAATAATCAGAAATTTCTTATTTATTTTGAAAATATATAAATAAGTTCCTGTTATAAATAAAAATGAAATGTAAGTAACTTCATCAAAAATTTATAGAAATTTTATGTGATTTACTCTTAATTTCAAAAGTTACTTGTACAAATTTTAGAAATAGATGACAAGTTTGTAGTACAATTTTAGTAAAATTAGATGTGGGATCAATATATCACACATGATGTAAAAATTGAGTCATATTATTAATTACTTATAAATAATTTCACTGCATTGATCTTGATATGGGGATTTTGTGTTTTCTTTTTAGAAAAAATTGTTTACTTTATGGATATCCCTCATCAAAATAAAATAAATTATAGGATCTATGAATTACATAAGTAAATCCCAAAATAAAAAGCCGCATTATTAATTACGGATAAATAATACTTCCTTCAATATTTAATATATAAACTAGATAATTAATTTATAAAAATTAACAAGATTAGTTCAATTTTTTCAAAATATCTTTTTAGTTATATATATTGAAAATCACCCAATTGATGGAAAATTTTCTTACCATATGCAATTAATTGGATGAGTTTAAAAAAATTATAAATTTGGAAAAAAAAAGTTATATGGGATTTAGTATGTTGCATAGTTTACAAAGTAAAATATATGTAGTTTACTATAATAATGTTAACACCTAGAAGATATATGCATTTAGACGGATATTATAGTTGCCAAGTTTGTTTTTACTTCCTTTGTCCAAAGAAAAAGGACAAAACATTTTCTGTTTACTTTTTCTCACCAACCGATTCATTTGTAGCTGCCTCTTGTCCAAGTTCATCCCTTCACGCGTCAAAATATGTTAAAAAAAAAACACACACACACACACAACCATATATTCATTTTCCTATATGATTTCCAAGTTTGGTGTTTATTAGGTTATAAAACTGTTTTGGTCATTATTGTTTTTATGTTATCATATTTGATACATTAATTTAATAACAATTTTTGGATTGTGCCGGACATACTGTTTATAAAATTAATTAAATCCAAGCAACACGTTCAAGTTTTGCAATTTCTGACCAATTACATCTTAATTTAATAATGTTTTTCCCTTTTTTAAATTCTTCCCCTCCCTAATTTAAATATTATCCATTTTTCAACTGATCAATAATCAATTCATGATGTCCAAATCAAGTCAGTTTATGTAAGTAAATTAAATGAAACAACTATTTTAATCATCTGTTTGGAAAAAAAAAACTATATACTTGGTTCTTAAGTTTTAGTTTATTTCTTTTTTATCATTTAATATATTATTTATATATTTTAAAATCTATTTTTTATATTTATTTTCTGAGATAATTAATTAATGGTTGATGTAATTTTTCGTAAATATTATATATATTTAAATACACACACACATATATATTAGTTCTTCTGTATTTTTCTGAACATTATTTCCAAAACTATTGAAGTTTCATTGTTTTTTATAAGAATCAAAATAAAATAAGAATTAAATAAAGGAATGATATTCATAGTTATTAGTAAAAAATAAATGTTATTTATTTCAGTTTTTATACAGACAAAAATAAATTATTCTGAGTCAAATAAATCACAGTCGATGGCCTTTTAATATTTTAATTTAATAATAATAATTAATATGAAAATAATAAATACATTAGCTGTCGTTGAACCGTTCCTTCGACATGAAAATATACTATTTCGGCTAGTGTGAACTTTGATACAATTGTTTTTTCCTTTTTAAAAAAAAGTTCAATAATGATTGATGCTTTACCAGTTTTAATTTCGCTACATTTTTTGTCCAATCCAAGGGTCATATTTAATATATGTAAAAATGCACTTTTACTCCTTTTATGTAAAATTTTATTCTGATTTCTTAATTTTATAAGATGTCTTTTCATTCCTTTAATTCTAAGAGAGGCTAGCCTAACACTCAAGAGAGAATGACTTAGATGATTATGAAAACTTTGAAAACTTTTCCGAATATTACTTTGGTGTTTAATATAAAAATTAGTAGAATTATCATTTGATAAAAATTTCATAATAAATATATATTGTTTTTTTAAAAATATTCTTGCTAATCATATATATATTAGCTAGAACTACTATTTGATAAAATCTTTAAAATGTATAATTACTACGGGAATCACATTAGGAAAAATAAATAAATATAAAATAGATTAGAGTTTTATATTTAGAAATGTCAAACTAGCTATTATATTAAAAACAGAAGATAAAATGAACTATAAAATAGCTGAAGAACTTGAAAGCAGAATATGTGAATCAACCTTTAGAAATAAGAATAGGGAAGACAGAGAGAGCAAAATTCACCATTTATAGTAGGTCACTTGGTCACTGGGCCTTTGTTCAATTCTCAAGATCACCCTTTAGTATTTTTAGTTTTTTAACTGAAACCTTGCAAATTCACAAATGTGCTCACTTGCAACTACAATACAGATTGAAGACTCAATAAATATTGTGAGTCTCATAATCCTACTTAAAGGTCCCGCGCCTTCAGTAATTGTTCTCAAAGATTGAAAAAGACTTCCTACAAGGAAATTCTCGCAACGAGTTGTAAATAGAGACACTTTTCTTTTGCCAAAATAAAATAGATAATAAACACTAGAAAATATAGTAATAGAGCTTTCAATGCAAATTTTATGAAATAATGAATGTTTAATGTAAATTCATGTAAACTTGGTACGTACCTATTTAAGTATGGTGGTATCTATAATTTTTTTCAATTAATTAGTCGTTAAAAAGAAGCACATAACTGTTACAAACTCAAAGAAATATTATATTAAAGAGTAAAATACACCGAGTATCCTCCTATTTCATTTCAGTTATAGAAGCCCATTCTCTATTTTGAAAAAGTATATAAACCTCTCTTAAAATTAAAATGTATGTTATAAAAATTTCTATCCTATATTTAATATTCTATTTCTGTTAAGTTTGATTTTAAGTTATTTTTGACCAAATTACCCCCTTTTTAACACAATAATTATTTAGATATTTATATTTTTCAAAAAAATGTTTTTTATAAAATCAAAAAACTAATTCCAGTACTTTTATTTTTAAAATCTCTAATATGTTATAAAATTTATTAATTTTGATTAAATCATAAATTTTATTTAAATCTTTAAATTTTGTAATTTTAAATTTTTATCGTATTCATTAGAAATTATTTACTTTAATTTCTTTTAAATTTTAAAAACATATTCCAAATACATAGTTTTTGTTTATGGTAAAGTTTAAATAACGTAAGTTTAAAAAATTTTATAAATTATTTAAATTTATAAATCAAAACTTTTAAGCATATCTTTGTTACAAAATTTATAAACATATGTAATTAAGTATATATATTTATTAAAAAATTATTTAAATTTTTAATTAAGTTTTTTATGTTTGTCTTAATTGAATAAAATTCGTGTAACTCTAAAAATATAACTTACAAGTTTATTAGAACGAGGGGTGAAATAGTAAACAAAATTTATTTTGATATAAATTAAAGTTAAAAATAATATTTTTAAAATCTTTTCAGAATATTCCTAATAATATTAACTAATTAGATTAAACTGTATATTTCTAAAATAGAAAAGAGGTGTGTGTAATTGATGCAAATTAGAAGGGTAGTCAGAATATTCTACTCTATATTAAAAAGTGGTTTATGGTCTCTCACAACATAGTAAATCAATTTTTAAATCTCTACTAAGAGATGTATCCATATTTAATACTCCTCCGGTCCTATTTAGGATCGGAGGAGTATCTAATAATGTCTCGAATAATATTACCTTCAATAGAAGAATACTTGTGTTAAAGGGAAAAAAATGGTTTTCACCAATAGTATTTAGGGGGTGTTTGGATGGAATCAAAACCATGGTTTTAAAAGTGGTTTTACTATATACGAAATAAATATGTATAGGAATTTATCTGATTTGCAGAAAAATACTTTTCAGAAGCACTTCTGATGCTTTCCAAACACCCTCTTAGTGTTTGTCAAAAACAACGTTAATGCTAAGTGTTAACATTTTTTTTTTTAACCGGAGTTTAATGCTGACATAGTTGACAATTTAATCACGTTACCGCAAGTATGAAAGCGTTACAAGTGTGAAAGCAATAAAACTAGGTAATTCGACATGCTTCTTAAGCACTTAAATAAAAATAAAAATTATTAAAGTTTATTTGCATTAAATAATTATAAAATATAATAAATATTGCATATTTTGCTAATGAGACAAATTTCTTTCCTATAGTACAAGTGTACTGTATGAACGAATTTGTACTATGCCAAAGATTCCCCCCCCCCCCCAAATTAGTTGCACCAAACTGGCCCAAAAGCTGAAAACAGCCGAAGAGAAAATAATCCGGCGAAATTGCTAAAAAAAAAAAAAACGAACTGATAAAGATACTTGGTAAAGAATGTACGAAAAAAATTAGTAAAAGTCTCTGTTTAAAAAGTTTATTAATCAAAATATCTGAATTCGAGTATTGACGCTTTTTATTTTTATATACTGCAAAATACTAAT